GGCTATATAGTGAGACCCTGCTTCAAATATTTCCCATTCCAAAAAAAAAAAAAAAAAAAAGAGAGAGAGAGGGAGAGATGCTGACTGCCACACCAGGTCACTGACTAACACATTGGGTGGGTGAGGACAGCTGGCCAGAATGATGAATATAAAGACAGGCACTTTAAAAGGACTCTGCTGACAGGGACCTCTAAGAATCTAACTAGACAGGAATCCTGTATAATTAACAAATTCGAGGCCTGGAGGCATGGCTCAAGTAAGTAGTTGAGCCTAGCAAGTGCAAGCCCTTGAGTTCAAACTCCAGTACTGTGAAAGAAAAGAAAAGAAAAAAAAAATTAATTCTTTGAAACTGCAGCTAAAATCTCCAGCTGCCCTTTCCTCCCCAAGGGGCACCCCTTCCTTCTGGTGAGACTAAATGGCAGGGTGGAGTAAGAGCTGGGAGACATCCAGCCCTCTTACTGCTGGGGATGAATCTGGGAAGGCCCTACTACCTGGATGCCTACCTGTCTTTCCCCAGCTGCAAAAGGAAAGCTCCACCCTCCACAGTCTCCAAATCACTGGGGTGCACACATTGGTGGCTTGCTGCTCTTCTTTTCTTTTTTAGTAACCAAAGTGGGCTTAATGGGGAGTTCTAGTCTTTTCCACATCAGAGTTTTTCTGCTAGGGTGGTTTAGGCATCTCTCACTCAGCCTTCTGTTTTGATGTGACGTCTATATGCTGTGGAAGCAGCAAGTGGTTTGCTCCCATTTTAAGTGGAGGAAGCAATAATAAAACCCTCCATCCAGCCCACAAACATCTGCTAGACACCTACTGTGTGCACTGGATTTTCAGGCCCAGTGCTGTGAAGGGTGAAAGATTGCAAGGGGGCCAGGTGCAGAGGCTCAAGCCTGTAATCCTGGTTACAGGAGGTGGAAATCAGGAGGATCAAGGTTCCAGGCCAATTCGAGCAAAAAGTTAGCACCAATAAAGCTAGGCGCAGTGGAACCTATTATTCCAGCTTTGTGGGAGGCACGGGTAGGAAGATCTGTCCAAGGTCAGAACCTTGCAAAAATGCAAAACCCTATCAGAAAAATAGCTAAAGCTAAAAAGGGCTGGTGGTGTGGCTCAAATGGAGGACCAGCTGCCTAGCAAGTCTGAGTCCCTAAGGACTCCCAGTCTGCCAAGAAGGAGAAGAGGAGGAGGATGAAGAGGAGGAAAGAATAGAAAAGAGATGCTGAGACCAGAGCACCATGCACTGAGGTGTAGCTTCTGCACTTCCCATATCAGGTCACAGCCCCAGGAGCTTTTCACAAAGACATGAAAGGTAATGGGGAGTCTAGTTCCATACAGCTTGCTTATAGACAGAGAAACTGTGGCTCAGAGACGTAAAACAACCCACCTGAAGTCACCCAGCCAACCTGAGGCAGACCTGGGATCAAAGCCAGGTCTGCTGACTTCAGGGCAGTATCTTCTCACTGCTTTAGCTGCTGAAGTTATCAGTCCCGAACCTAATCTCTGCATCAAGGCCACATTCCCCTTCAGTCCTACTTCCTGTGTCCAGAGCTCAGGCCCCTGGACTTGGCAAGAATCCTGGGCATTTGGAGTAGTGCCAAAAGGCACCTTCAACACCCCAAACTCCTTCCATGTGGCTGAACTTGGCTGGCTCTTGCTGCTCTCAGAGGAGCTGAATGCTAGAGAGGGTGAGAAGTAGATTTTCCACTTGTGCTCCTGCGCCGGCTCTGGTCAGCACTGCTTCTCCTCACCCCTTGAGAATGGGGCTGACCTGCAAGGTCCCTCTCCAGGGCCGCTCATTTCAGATCCAAACACCTTGGCCTTGCTTTGGTCCCCCTTCTCTACTTTGTTCTTGGTCTGTGGCCAGGCCAGTTGTCCCCACTCCATAGCAGCCCATGGCCCTACTCTGGCTCATTTTTTTGCCCTCCTGTCAATGCCCTCCTCCAAAACCTGGCTCCATATTTTTTCCTTCCTTCCTTCCTTCCTTCTTATTTTTTTGAGACAGGCTGGCCTTGAACTCAAGATTCTTTTGCCTCAGCCTTCAAAGTGTTGGGATTACAGAAGTGCACACCACACCCAGCTCTGGCTCCATATTTCTTAAACAAAGAAACACTTGGAAATGACCCAAATGTGTACCCACAGAGGAATGGTAAAGTACTTTCTCTCATAGAGGGCTGGCAAGGTGGCTCACGCCTGTAATCCCAGCTACTTGGGAGGCAGAGATAGGTGGATTAAGATCTGAAGCCAGCACTGAGCAAAAGCTTGAGACCCTACTTGAAAAATAACTAAAACAAAAAGAGTTGGGGGCATGGTTCAAGTGGTAAAGTGCCTGAGTTTAAACTCCAGTACTGCCACAAAAAACAAACAAACAAACAAACAGTACATCCACTCATAGGCAATATGCAGATGGGACAATCGCCCTCTGAAGGCTCAGGAATGACAGACATGGGACAGGGTGGGGCTGTGACAACAGGAGAGGGGGCTGCCCAAGGGCTGTGGCTGTGCCCAAACCTGCCCTTGAGAACAGGACCTGCAGGGATTATTTCTAAAATGTCAACAGCAGCTGTATTGGGAGAGTCTGGTTTCCAAATTTTGATAACCTCAACTGCTTTTATGATAATAATGATAGCAATAAAACCAGCACCCAGCTCAGCACTCATTCCTGCAAGAAGCCATCTAGCCTGGACATTCTTTTCCGTCAAGGTCATGGGTCACCTGTCATCTCTCCCCTGGAAATGGCAGCTGGTGGGGGATTCCTACCAGGTACTGAATCTCTTTCCTGTCCCCTGGGGGTAGGGACAATATCTCATCTGTCCCCTCCTCAAGCATGAGCACATGTACACACATCCTATCTCCCTCAATCATACATTCACATACACACTGTCTTTCTCTCCCCCAATAACCAGCACAATGCGAAGCCCACTGTAGGCTGCAGACTGATCCTTTACCAACAATAACTGACTGGTTGGGAACGGAGCTGGCTTTTGTATAAACCGTAAGTCCTCTAGATTCCTACTTTTAAACTGACAAAACTACTGGAGCTCTCATCTGGCAGAGATTCAAGGTGAGATGTAAGTAGCTTAGAACATTTACTGGTAAAAGCTAACAAAACAAATGAAGCTTTAGGCTAGGTGTCAGGGTCTGAATTCTGGCTCCACACTGGCCCTGTGTGACCTTGAACATGTTACTCAGCCTTCCTGTGCCCTAGGAATAATTCCTACTTCCCAAGTCTGTTATGAAGGCTAAATGACTTAACATTTACAAAACAGCAGACCAACGCCCAGAAATTCATACATACTATATAAATAGTATATATACATAAATAGTGAGTAATATCTACTCACTGCCCCCTGGATCATTCTATATTTACTGGACACCTACTGAGTCTAGTAGGTGAGACATAGGGGCCCAGCTGCCACCATTTAGTAGGAATGACAGCAACAGAAGAAACAAAAAAGGCCTTTTTTTTTTTTTTTTTTTTTTTAGGAAAACATGATCATTCTAAACAGAGAATCTTACACAATTCTAAAGACAGGCCTGAGAAAAAACATTTATTTCCACGTAAACTTGAAAAAAAAAAAACCCACAGTTCAGTCCTTTGAATCCATTTAAAAGATTGAATTCTAACTGGTTTGTGAATTTAGACCAAGGTTCGGTACACGAGAGGCTCTTGGAGGATATTCCCACTCACTACCATCTTCAACTTCTCCGAATTTTTTTTCTCCTTATCTCCTTTGCCCTTAGCATTGATCACCAGAAAAACAATCTCTGGGTCCAGTCCCTGGGTGGGGAAGGAGAAATGGGCTTACTGAGACCCACCAGTCATTTTTAAAGCAATCCATGACTATTTGGAAAAGAGTGAGGGTGAGAAATCTTGGTCACTGATACTCTCAACTGAAGAGCCGAGCGTTTTAAAATCTGGGTGGTTTAACTCAAACAGCTTTGCGAGCAGGTAAATGTACAGTCGGCTTAATAACTGATGGAAAAACCAAATTCGGTCAATACGTACCCCTCCCCCAACTTCACTCAAATCTTTGAATGTAATTACTTTTGGATGCCCTCAACTCGGTAAGGCCCAGGCGTCTACGTGTGTGGCCCAGGCGATCCACGCCAGCCCTACACGGTGCTGAGCTCCGGGCAGCGATCGCGGGTGAGTGGCGCGGGGCTGCCCGGTGGCAGCGCCCAGGCCCACCCATCTCGGGGCCCGGCAGCGGCTTACGAGATGCACCCAGCCGGCCGCCGCGCTCTGGGACGCACTCGGCACCGGCCAGGGCGGCTGTCACTGGCAGCGGGCGAGCAGCCAAGCCCTGAGCCCTTCTCCAGCTAACACCGCTCCGGTGCTCAGCCTCTCGCCGCCCCCCGAACTTCATCCCGCAAACGCTGCTAATGCGATCTGGCGACTTTCCTAAACTCTAGGCACCGGAATCGGTCGCCAGACCCGCTGCAGAAGCGAGCGCGGCGGCGGGCTGGAGAGCTTAGCGCTGCGTTCCGGAGCCGCGGCGCCCGGCGGACCGACACCTCCGCGGACGACTCCATCTCCTCCCCGAGATTGCGATGTTGCTCGGGGGTTCGGAGGCTCAGGCGGCGTTTACCTCCTGGACTTCAGGCTTTGGACGTTGGAGAAGGGGCCGGAAAAAGCACTTAGGACCCGGACGGGGGCGGCTAAAGGGTGCTGGAGAAGACTGGGGATCCCACCTCCAGTCCCTGCTGTCCCGGAGCCGGGGTCTGCAGGGAAGAGCAACCAAGCCTAATCCCCAAAGCCTGGAGCGCTTCTCTTTACCGAGCCGGTTCCCCAGGTGGGCGGACCCCTCCTCCGCTACAACCATTTCTTTTTCTCCGGAGTTCTCCCACTACCCACCCAAGCCCGGCTCCAAAGGTCCAGGCCTCCCCTGGACCGGCGCCCGGCTCTACCTAGCGCCCCTCCCCCATCGCACCCACATCCCACGCCTGTCCCGCGCCGGCCCGAGCTGGGGGCGCCCGCGTTCCAGGGCTGATCGCGTAGCTCTTACCTTGACAAGCCGGAGCTGCGGGCGCCGTCCCATCCTCGGGCTTGCTCCGTCACGGTCCTGGTTGCCTGGGTCCTTCGGACATCCCAGAGGGGCCGGCCGGCGGTGGCGGACTCCGGCGGCTCCGGGTGGGCGGCGGGCTCTTCTGTGGATGCCCGGTGCCAGGGTGCCCGGCTTTGCACTCCCCCGCCCCGCCCGGCGGGCTGTCCTCTCCCTTCTCGGGCAAGTCTGGCCGCCTTTTCCCGACCCAGCCTGGCCCACCGCCGCCTGTCGCCCGCCCCGGAGCCCGCCTTGTCCCGCCGCCTCCCCCACTGTCCGCCCGCTCCTAGCCTTGGCTCCCCGCCCCCTCACCTCGCGCGTCCCCTCCCCTCTCTCTCTTTCTCTCGGTCTCTCTCTCTCCCTCTTCTCCCCTCCCCTCCGGTCCCTCCTCCTCGCCTCGCCACTTAGCAACCTCCCCGCTCTCCGCCTCTACTGTTCCCTGTCCTTCCTCGAGTGGGCTCCCTGCGCCCTCGCCGACCCCCTTTCTCTGCGCCGGGGTTTGCGGCAGTTTTGGGGCGCGGAGGCAGCGGCGGCGCTGCCGCAGCTCGGGGACCGAGCGTGGGGGAAGGGGGAGGCGGGAGTGGAGGTGCTCCAGCCTCCCGCCCGACTTGAGGTTCGGGCCAAGGGAGTCCAAGGGATCTTGGGGGACTTGCGGGGCTCAGGTGAATTTATGAGAGCGAGGCTACTGGGGGCTGGGGAGTAGGGCGATCGCGACAGAGCTGAGCCACCGCGGAAAGCAGATGAAGCCGGGGACTGCGTTTGGGCAGTTCCCGCCCTGTGACCAGCCAGAAGGCCATCACCGCCTCCACTTCAGTCGGGCAGGGACACTGGGCCCGACCTCCAGAGCCTTTGGCATTGACATGCCGGGTGCGTGCTGAGACACGAAAGCTCTGCGGAATGAGCCCTTATTCATTCGTTCGTTTGTTAGTTCATTCAGACCGAGTATCTGGCCAGTTTTGTCCAGGTAAGGGGCTGGACCTAAGGACCCCAAGATAAAGGGAAGACGGCGGTGTCCGGCAAGACTAGCCGGCTCCTGGACTCTGTCCAGTGGAAAGCTGGGCGCGCACTGCGCTACAGTATGGTGAACGCAGCTGGGAATCCAGCCTGCTGGGCGTGGAGGAGGACACAGCGCCCCCTCTTGGCCGGGCCCTCAGAGTAGGGGCCGGCTGTCCGCTCGGATCTCGGGGTCTTCATCTGAGTTGGCTTTCTAGCTCCCGGTCTCACCCCAACTCTGCAAAGCAACTTCGCATCCTCCGGCCCTTTCAAGTGGACAGTACTTTCGACTTCCTCCTCCCTCTTTCACCCTAAATCAGAACCGAAACGGGAGAAGAGGAGTCCCTGGGAGGTAGAAAAATCTTCATTCCAATCCCACAGTGCCTCGGGACCCAGCGCCAGTGGCCAGCGGCTCCAGAGTATGCAGAAGCACCGTGGGCGGAGCATGGTCCCAGGGTGACCACCAGCCGGTTTTAAAATCCAACTGAGCCTGGCTGCCCTGGATTCTGTGCCCTTCGTGTCCACCTCTCCCCCTCCCACCCTCAGCAATTGGGCAATAACCAGCGCATTTATGGGTCCAACTGATGTTCATGTGGAGCTGGAGTTACTGCAGGAAGTCATGTGATCCAATAGAGTTCACTGGTGAGGAAATTGAGTCATACAGAGAGATAGTGACCTGTCCAAAGCCCTAGTCTTCCCCTTCCTGATTCCTGGTTCTAAGCCCTAATGGAGTGGGGTGAGGGCACTAATGTGGGAGGGGAATTGATCTGAAAGTCTGCTGGTCACATGGGCTTAGCCACAGGGGGTGGCACTTTCTGGATGAAGCAGAGTCCTGAGTTAGGTGAATGCCCCAGAGCTGGTCAGGCTGAATAGGGGCACTGACTCAAATCAGTCAATCCCAGAAGAGATGGACATACCAACCAGATGGTCAATTTACTTTTCTCACAAAAGTCCAAACACAGGGTATTGTGGTGCCATTCCAGTTCTCCAGTCAGACCGTCTGGGATTGAGTCTTGACTCTTCCATTTGCAAGCTGTGCAGCCCCAGATAATGGTGCCTCAAAGTTCGTGTCTATAAAATGGCTACAGGAACACCTACCTACCTCCTAAGGTTGTTGGAGGGTATATTGGTAAAAGGGCTTGGCACAGTGCCTGGCACCTAGCAAAAGCTTTGTGAGGGAAGCTACAGTCATTCTCACTGTCATCATCAAGATGAGTGGACCAGCTGCTCCTCTGTGGGCGGCTTGGTCCCTCCTTCTGGGCAATTCTTTGTGGGAAGCAGGCTCATGCTGAGCGGTTTCCAGCAGTGGTGGATCTCAGAATGGGAGGAGGAGAGGCTGGCTGGTCCTCAGGGCCTCCGGAGACCAGGCAGCTCCATTTTGCACAGCTCTCAGATTCCAAGTCCTTCTGCTTAAGAAACATGTCACATGTGACCTCTCAGAGCCCATCCCCCTCCCCCGACATGATCTTTAAATATGCTAATGCCATCGATTCACTGTAATCAAGTTTTGCTCTTCTGCCTTTTTGCACCCGGGAATCAGCCCTTCTCCCTTTCCAAGTGTCTTCAGCCAGCACATTTCACCCTGGCTGTGTTACGTCCCTGACCTGACCTCCACGGTGTGGAAAAGGAGTTCCGTCCTCACTCCAGGACCTACTTACTTACGTTTGGCCTTGTCAGTCACTGGGGCCAGAGGTGGTCTGAGAGCCTCGGGTTTAACCACCCTCTGTAAAAGGTTCCATATTCCCTCTCATTTGTTCATAAACAGCTTCCTTCAAGGGCCTGGCTCTCATCTGTTCTGCCTGGTGAGGATGCAGTGTCTGCCCTGGCCTGACTGCCCACCCTTCCATGCCCTCCTCCCCTGTTGGCCCCAGTCCAAGCTGCAGCCCCAGCAGCCTGATGGCTTAGGGTGCGCTCCATGGGCAGCCTCTTCACAACCTCCTCTGGACAGGCTACAGCTCCATTTGAGCATTCTTTACCCAGTCTGATTCTTCCCAAGCTTTGCCATTCCTTCCCTCCCTTGACTTTTCTTCTTGCCTAGGGCCAGACCAGACCCAGCTGTCGTTCATTTAGCCTGCCATTTTGGAAGAAAGGAGAGACATGAGGAATCGAAACCAGAGTAAAAGACAATTGCATGTCCTTCCAAACAGTAGGAGAGACAGATGTGACGGCAAGTAACAGTGGGTGGGGTCCAGGGAGCAGGGCTGTGAATACACCTTGTGGTGGCTTAGCCCTCAGGCACTCCACTCAGGAGGGACAGTCTGGAACTGGACTTCTCAGATGATGTGTGGCAAAGAACCAGTTCTTTACTTTTGAATTCTAGTCTGTCACAGCTGACACTATTGCAAAATCCAATGAATTATTAGGAAATGAAAAAATTTTAAAGGCATACAAAATAAAAGCTCAATTTTAAAAGCTAGTAGATCCAATGAGCTTGAAACTATTCAGTTGCTTTAAAACATCTAAATGCTCACGCTGATGTCTGACTTACCTTGTCACAGACTGGCATAGATGGTTTGCAGATGGGTGAGCAGTCTGAAGATGTGCTTACAGTAGCACGCGAGGATACAGCCAGGAAAATGAGCTCATGGAAGGAGCTGCTTTTAAGATTCCATTAACACTGGGGGAGGTGGTGTTAATTACTCCACTCACCCAACAAACATTTAATGAGCAGCAGCTATGTGCCAGTCACTGTTGGAGGCCAAGGCTAATAATGATTAATGTAACAGGGTCCTAACCCTCAAGATGTTCACAGCCCAGAATGGGAGACGGCCACTTTGATAAATAATTAAAAGTTATCGAAATTAGGTCAACAATAGACCAAGCACTGTGGGCATGGAGGCAGGAATATTAATTCTGCCTGGGCTAACACAGAAGGTTCTACCGAGGGGATGAGGCTTGCGTAAGGGTCTGGAGTTGGGAGTTGGGTACCTGTTCAGTCCCATACAGCCTTCATAGATGCTCTCCATAGATGAATTAAAATGTGTATTGCTTAGCGTGCAGTGCATGCAGTAAGGGCTTCAAATGTATTTACTACTTTTTTTATGATTAAATATTGTAAATTATCATCATTATGATTATTATCCACTAGATCTCCCCAACCCTGACCTTAATTTTGATGTGGAGTTGTGGGAGGGAGTCACAGTAAGTAGCTCTATTTGTGGAAGGAGGCCATCTGGCTTTGACTCTGCCTTCCTTGTCAGAAGACTCTTCTGGAAGAGGTGGCTTGGAAGGCGTGTAATGAAGGAAGTAGATATGGACAGGTAAAAATGAGGGAAAGAGACTTTCATGGTAAGGGATCCCTTAAAGACATAGCCTGAGGGACAAGCATAGGGTAGAAGAGGAGACTGGTCTGATGGGACAAAGAGCTGGGGTGCAGGGATGGGGTGAGTGTTGGCACAGTTGCAGGAGAGGCAGGCTGGAAATTTTCCAACCCCTAGATAAAGGGCTTGACATTATTTATTGTCTCATTTAGAAAAACAGACAAGGGTAATTTGGACTGGTATGGAGGCTTGTATACATAGCTCTTTCACAAACATTTTATCCTTTAATCCTTCTAACAACCCAGTGATGGAGGTATTAACAGTTAAACTTTACAGATGAAAAAACCACACTCAGAGGCTGATAGCTTGCCCAAGGTCACACAGTTGGGCTTGACACAGACAGGACTGGAGCCCATGTCCCTCTCTGATTCGCAGTCAGGGGTTCTCCTGACAGGACCTGAGTTGAGGCCTCTGGGGAACTGCTCTAGGGCCTACAAAAGCCATGCTCTGGGACAAGTCTTTCATTTTTTTCTTTCTCCACAGACGGGCAAAAGGTAGGAATGGAGATAAGCCATGGGACAGTACTTGGTGGTGACAGCTGGGCCACAGAGGTCTCCTCAGGTGATCTAGCTTCTCCCCCTCTTTCCAATCAAGTACAGGGACACTTACCCTGGGCACAATATCCATATTTTTGCATGTATTAACTGTGGCCAAAGAGCAACTGAAGTTTGCTTGTTATTGCTTGTTTTTTTTTAATTTAATTTTTATTTTTTAAACTTTTTTGTTGGCAGCACTGGGTTCTGAACTCAGGGTCTTATGTTTGCAAAGCAGGCACTGTAACTGCTTGAGCCACTCCACCAGCTTAACAAAACTTTTAAAAGATGCACTGAAATGAGGGTTGGGTGAATGGGAAGGCACTTTGGGAACATTCTGGAAGTGAAATCAGAGCAGAGGTGCCAGCTAGAAGTGCAGTGCATAAAAGGC